CAATGCTGGGGCTGTAGAGCCCGGCACAGCTGTTCGCTGCCTTCCAGCCTCCTGCTACAGCTGCCCAAAGCCTGGAGGCTGCAAACAGCTGCGCTGGGCTCTGGAGCCCAGTGCTGGCTTCGTGAAAGTGGCAGGTGCATGTGTGGCTCGCAGCACACGGCAGAGAAGGGGCTGGGGCAGCACAACCCCAGCCCCTCCCTTGCCATCCACCTGAAGGCATATGTGAAGTCACCACCAGCAATGAGGATCGGGCCCCTTGCGCCTCCCCCATCTCTGGCATGCCAAGTTGAGGCATGAGTGGAGGATGGGGTGATTTTGGCACTCCAGCCAAAAACTTTACCAGCCCCTGTTCTAAAGTAAATGGGAACACTAATATTTTGGCTTGGAAAATCCATTTACCCACATAGAGTGTCATCAACTCCCACTTTTCATTTCAGAGTTGCTCTTTGACTGTGAGAGAGGCAAACAAGATGTTTGGGATTATTAAGAATGGAATTGTAAACAAAATGGAAAGTATCATCAGGTCCCTCTAACTCCATGGTGCATCCACACTTTGAATATTGTGCCCAGTTCTGGTCCTGACACCTTGGAAAGGATATGGAAAAATTAGAGAAGCCATAGCTATGGTCAGACAACCAGGCTGGAAGAGAAAAACTAGGGATTGGACAAATTCCTGGAGGAAAGGTGCATCAGTAGGTGTTGAATATGGGAGTTAGGAGTAAATGCTGGAGGCTGCAAGCGAGAGAGTAACAGGGGAAAAAAAGGCCACTTAACTCTCCCTTTCAGCATCCTCTGTCTGCCACTGTGATACCAGATACTGGGCAAGATGGGCCTATGGTCTGAACCAGTAAATGTCAATTCTTATGGTCTTACGAATAAAAACTCCAAGGCATGAACTTGCTAACGCACTGCTGCCTTCCAGGTCCACAGATCTGCTGCTGCAGTGCCTCTGCTGCCACTTCACCAAGCCACTGGAGAGTGCAGTGACTAGTCCAGTCCAATTCTGTGCTACTAAGGAGGGCTCTGGGAGTGGCAGTGAAACCACGAGTCAGCTCAGTTTCAGAGAGCATTGCAGCAGGCTGACTGACTTAGACAAATGGGCTGAGAAGCCGTTTGTTTAAAACTGTAACTTACTGTACCTCTCCAGATTTTATTCCATACCTGACTGTCTTCCTGATCTCCCCCCCACCCCCAATCCCATTCCTGTTTTTGTTAAAGTAGATGGGGTGTCATCCTCATACCCATTTTTTGGTGAATCTCTCCCTGTGTCATGTTTTTGGCTCCAGTCTGTCCACCAGCTTTTTCTGTCTTGTCTGCTCCTCATTTTTCCTCAGTCCTGCCCTGAGCTTGGTGCAGGAGGATCTTTGTGCCTGGAGTGTCCCATTGAATTCAGTGTGGGCACTGGGGTCCATTGGCATGGATTTCAGTACTGGATCGGAGCTTCATACTGTAAGCTGCTTTGAGCTGGGACCCGTTGTGTCTGTGTTCTGTGAAGTTGCTTAGCATCCTCATGGCTGCCATAAAGTGATGTTGCTCTCCCTCCCACGCATGCTATTCTTGCTCCCTTTTGTCCTGTGTGTATAGTTTGAAAGATGTAACTAAACTAGTGTAGTCAACAGAGCATTGAATTCAGGTGAAAGGACCTGCTGTCAGGACAGTGCTTGGAGAAGAAGCCAGGATCTCTTGAGAAGGGTGGTCCAGTAGATATAGCACTAGCCTGGGACTCGGGAGAACTGGGTTTAATTCCCTGTTTTGCCAGAGCCTTGCCATACAGGGCAACTCTTTATACAGTTTGGGTGACAGCACTTCCTGCCTCACAGACAGTAGTGACCATCAAAATATCTATGGTCTTCTAGTCCACACTACAGGGGTTTGCCAGCATTAGCAACACTTGCTAGAGGTGTAAGAAGCTGCACACTGCAGCTGCCTGAAAATCCCCTATGGCCAGTACATGCTGCTACTTCACTCCTGAAGCACAGCTTTATATTGTAGATGAGCCCTCAAACACCTGTCCTGGGCCTCAGCTGCTGGGAGAAAGGAACTTGCTAGGATTTGTCAGAGTAGGGTTGCTGGGCCTGGCTTGGAGGATCCCTTCCTCTGTAGCCCATGGATTATTTGAAGCCCAACAGCTGTAGGAAGGGGAGAGGAGAGGGAAATGAGCATTTCTCTCTGATCCAGCCCTTCAGGCCCAGAGCCCTCCAGCCACTGAGGGTCATGGGGTATTTGCTTTGTTTTACCTCCTCTTTCCTTGTGAACCGCTCTAGGACCTGCTGCTGTTTCATTCACTGACCAAGTGCAGGGCAGTTTAACACTTGACTTAATGGTGTTTGGCTCACAGCCCAGTTTTGAACGCTGCATCCAGATCCAAAACTCCAGGGAAATAAATATTCTGGGTATCTGTGGGCAGAGCCCTATTAATTTTTGGCTACAACTCAGGAAACCAGAAGGGGACAGATAACCCATAGGCCCTGATCTCTGTTTATCAGGGCTGCTGACTTCAGCCCAGGCCCAGGTGTGGGGAAGCAAAAATTGGGGACACAGGAACTCTGTCCTCAGCATGTGGGGCTGTAGGGTGTCCCTGAATGAGTGGAGTGGAAGGGGTGGCCTTTGGGGCTTGTGGGGGAAGGGAAGGAGTACAACAAGCCTCTGGTCTGTGCAGCAGGCTCGGTTTGCAGAGGGGTGGGGGCGGAGGGGCTTCTGGGTCAAGCAGCAGGAAGTGGCTGTGGATGGAGCAGCTTTTGATTTGACTGGTAGGCTCAGTTCTGAAGCCAGCAAGTGTGGATGCATTTTTGAGCTCTGGTAATACCACATGGGTTTTTCTTAATTTAGCAATGCCCTTGCCAACAAAGCCATTATGTATGAGCATAGGATCAGGCCCTTCAAGATGGTGAGTGCCTCCAGCACCCGTCACAAGCAGGTAAGAGCCAGCTCTCAAGTCTCTGTAAACTCCCATAACAAGATCAGCCCCTATAAAGATCTTGCTGGTAAGGGCAAGTTTTGTGTGGCAGGCATTTCTTGGCTCCCTCTGCAATGAAATGCTTAGTAGATTAGGGGGATGGTGAGCGAACTGACTGGTGTCACCAGTAGTGCATACGTGGTGCTTCTCCTACTCTGGCTAGCAGAGACACCTTACTAGAGCTACCATTTCACTGACTACTAGAAAAAGTAGTGGGTTGTGGTGGCTTTTATTTTCCTGTCCAGTTGTAAAAGCATAGTGGAAGCAAGGCTCTGGCAGTTTACTCCAGAGTGAATGAGGTGAGATCAGCAGCAGGGATGTGGTGTGGCCCTTGTCTGGCTACCTGAGGACAACATGATGGGGGCCACATCCCCACCTAAGACTTTTCCATGAAGGTGCTATTGCAGGCAGGCTGTCCCGCTGCAGTGAAGGCAAGGCGAGGGGTGATGTCACGTGGACTTCTGGCAGTAAAGGCTTGCAAAGCATATTCTTCCACTTCATGTTTAAAAACACACCTCTCTCCTCACTCTTCTCTTCTGAGCTATGGCTGTCAAAGCCTTCACATGTCTGGCTGTGTCAGTTAGCCAGTCCCACCTTTCATAATACAGTGAAGTTGGTAGCAGACTATCTTTTATATCCTGCACAGCTGCAAATCTCCAGCGTGCTGCAACCCTCTGCTCATGCTGTGGCTGCAGACAGTCAGCTGCAAGGTGCCTGATTCAGTTGGGGTTGCGGATGGTCAGAAGATCTGTTGCTGCAGCCTGTGTATTTAAGGTCCTTCCTCTCCTCTTTGGGGCTCTCTTTCTGAGATCCATAATTCCCAAGAGCTTGCTGGGTGGAGAGGAGATATTAAGAAAAGGGAACTGGCCCCTTTCCAGCGATAACTCAGCAGTGTGTCTGTGGCTGCACCACTCACTCTACCTGTGAGTCTGCACACTGCACAGGGCAGGACTGGTTTCTTTCTGTTTCATACTTGGTTCTGAGCGTCTTGCTCAAGTTTAGTCTCTGCAGATCAGTCAGTGACCTTGAGAGCAGTTGATGTTTAGTGAGGAGTGATGACAGCTTTGTATATGGAAACTGACCTGAGTAACAGGACTTTTTATCGAAATATATTCCTTGCGGTGATTGTAACTTGGGCACCCAGCAGTTGTTTTGTGCATAGTCGGAGGGTTCAGCAGAAACTGTTCCCCTGAACCAAACCAACCATTAGATGCATCTCAGCTGTGTTAGTTCCGTATGGTCCCCGGGGACATTTGCATCTCAAAATCCACAGTAAAATCTGGCAAAGCATTCTCAGTGAGGTGATCTAGCCATGGAGCCAGCTCCCAGAGGAGTCCTAGATGAATCCAGACCTTGCAGTTTTGGATAACACTGCAGAACTTTCCTCTTGGTTAAATTGTTTCCTTACAACCAGAACAGCATTTATAGTATCAGCTGCTCCCACCCACCCCTTCCCTGACACAAAGCCTCCTCTCCCAGAGAGGAGTGAAAGCCCCAGACTGTGACTGTGCCTACACTACAGTGGGAGGTGTGAGAGCAGCACAGGTAGGCAGACTGTAACTAGGTCAGGAAGCTGCTTCACAGCTGTCAGCATCAGCTACAAACATCTGCCTGGAATCCCAAATAATACACAGGCAGCTCATGGGGTCCCCAAGCCAGCTTAGGTATGTCTATGTGCACCTGCAGTTGCAGAGTAGATGTTGTGCCAGCCCTGCCAAGGATTCCTGACTGCCAGTCTCCTAGGTGAAAGCCACTCAGACACTGCAGGCTCTGTACAAACCTGAGGAATGGCAGATTATTTTAGTCTGCCTCTCTTGAAGGCCATGTCTAGGACTGTTGCTAAGAACTTGGCTTGAAACAATCCCATGAAATGCACTCTTGGCTGCACCTCTTGTTGCGCACATTATTCGGACACCCAGAGGCCAGAGCGATGCGTCTGTAGGTCTGACTCGGAACAGTGAGCTTTTATTTTCTTTATAGAGCCGTAAAGACTTTATAAATGTCCTCAGAGAAAGGCTCCAATGATGTCTGCTTTGTTCCCCAGTGGCTTCAGTCCAGCAAATGACAGTGGAGCCAAAAAGAAGAAAAAGAAACAGAAACGGAAAAAAGAGAAAGGAGGAGAGCAGCTGGATCATGTCCAGGACCAGCCAGTCAAGGTAACCTGCCCCCTCTCTGCTGGGCCAAGGGATTTTTGCCCCAGATCAGAGCCTGCTCTTTAACAAAAGACTGATTTTAATATGAGCACATCTCTGGGCAGGGCCTCAACAGATATATCTGATGCTGAGATTGCTTGACTTTGTTTACTGACATTAGAGGTTTAAGATTTAGGGCTGTCTCCTGGCATGGAACCTGGCTCTGGACTTCCCAGTGGGAGAGGGTTGGAGGCAGATCTGAGGCTGGGCACAGGCCCTCATTAAGGTATCAAAATGAGTTATGGTGCAGTAGTAAAAATTGCAGACTGATGCCTGTGGCTTTTTTTTTTTTTTTTCAGACGTCACCTGCATTCTTGATTTGAGGTGGCAAAGACAGAGTGCCACTCCTTAGGAAGGAGTGGCACTCTCTCTCCTACCCCCAACCTCCTGGTTTCCCTCTCTTGCCTGCCTCAGACAATGAGTGCATTGTCTGATTTTTGGACAGTGCCTGGTATTCTCAGTTTGCTTAATTCAAAGGGTTTCAATGTTCTCCACCTTGAGACCCCAAAGGAGTGGTGATTTTCTTCTGGGACACCAATCCCACAATCTTTTGGTGGTAAGCCTAACCACTGCTGCGCATGGCAGTGTTGCTTGCTGAGGGCTGGTAGCAGAGAAGAGATACCTCTTCCTGCTGGGATACTACCTGCTTCCTCTCCCCATCCTACAGCTACTTTGCTGGGCTCCAGTGAAATGCTGCCTACCTCTAGGGACTGTCTAGGTAACCAGCAAGGCTGTAAATCTCGGGCAGCTGACTCCTTACCACCATTAAGCTGCACTTCACTACATTAGAGTTGACCACAAGAAGGGATCAGTTTGAGACTGGATGGCTGGGCAGGGCAGAGGCAGGAAAGAAGAGAGGAACTGTATAGAGATGCTCTAATCCTGAGTCCAGGTTTCTGAGCTGGGACATAACAATAACCTGCATTTTCTTCCTGGCTCTGCCACTATTCTCTATGTAGTCTGGGGCAGTTACTTCCCCTCTTGGAGCCTCATTTTTCCCTCCCCACTTTGTCTGCCTTGTCTGTTGAGGGGGTGAATTCTTTGGGACAGAGACAGTTTGCCTTTTTGGCTCAACAGCACCTCATTTCCTCAGCTCGTATAAACACGTGGGTGCTACCGTAATTCATGTTCTGTGTGATGAGTGTGGAGACAGGGGAGCTAGCTTGGCTGCCAGGGAAGTAGCTGGGTGAGAAGGGGCAACTTTCAGCTGCTTCGCTTACTTCCCTTGGCTTCTAACACAGGTCATGTTTTGTTGCTATTGGCATTGTCCAGTGGCTTGCCTGTCAGCTGTGGTTCCTCTTCT